GATAAGAATTGCGCGGTGATCTCAAAGCCCACAAAAGGGAATGAATGGCAGGAGTTCACTCGTTATGGCAATGCACTCACTCCGGTTGTTCAGCTTAGGATTTCGCTCGCGGATATACAACGCTTCTAATATCTTTATAAATTGCTTTTTAGAATGTTCTGTTTTGATCCTATCGGGAGCGAGCCCGTACAGTTTTACATTGACGTCATGGCATGTCGAATTCGTCAAAGAGAGAACCGAAAGGACGACATACCCATTTTGCCTAAGGTGGTAGGTAGGCACACGAAGCCGTGGCTATCGAAAAGACCAGAGTAGAAGTCGTTGATGACCCCCTCCATTTCCTTTCGAGATGCAGTAAGGACGACTTCCGTCAGGCCGACAAGGAAGTCATCTTGCTATTGAAATCGAGCTCCGTCGAGTCTGCGAATGCTTTTTCCGGGCCCTGCGGCTTCTGTCAAAACTGCTATTCCTTATTTCGAATCTTCCTTTATCGTTTCTCTGCATAGCTTCGCAATTTTGGGAGTTAGCTGGTTATTGCCTGCAGCTCACGTGATTCCACGCTCGCGTATTAGTTAACAAAGTGGTCTCACAATCAGTAGATAAAGGTCTAGGGGCTCCGCCTGAAGTTCGCAGCTTTCTCTCTACCCACTAAGAAACAGATTGTAGCTCAGAGAAGGCGATGGTTCGATCCCGTGTAGAAGTTCTTAAACAGCGACGTCAAGCAAGCTGTACTCCCGAGTGAGGATGAGGGTGGTCTATTTTTCTGGGGACTGCCCTCCTGGTGACTCCCGTGCCCGACGCCATTCAGAGGCCTGCTGAACTGCGAATCACTAGCGTTGGTCGACATGATTAATTCGAACAGTCTTCCCCTTACTCATTCCATTCCATTCCATGAGTCGCGACATGTAGCGCTTCACCGGTTCTTTTGGGCTTGCGTTAACATTCCCAACGACCGCCTGTGATCACCTCTGAAGAGTCTTTTCAGGTCTATTTGGCTCCTATTATTCGTAGCCTGCTGTGGTACTTAAATAAGGAATATTGTCAAAGCTGAGGTTGAATACAGTCGCTTCTCAGTCGCAACTGTCCTATTTGGTTGCTTTCGTATGAATCGATGATCAAGCCAAGTGCGTATTGATGAGGACACGCTGTCCCATGTTCCCAAAAAACAACCATTCTTTTTCACTCTCGAAAGAGGTGTGCAGTAAACATTATCTCTTCGTCTTGATCAGTCCCATGACGTCGTACTCGATCATCCCACTTTGCGTGATCGTTCTTCGTACAAGCTTCCAATGCAAGCGTTCCTGCATTGAATGTATAGATAGTCACTTAGTCCTACTCTTTTTAGGTAGGCTGTTACAGCCCTGCGATTTCAGCGAACTCCTTCGAGTGTCCTACCTAGCCTTTCAGTAGTGGGGGCTAGCTCAAGTCTACGCGATTCGTCCCCTTATCCACTCTTGGGATCGCACCTCGCAGCCTCGCCTCAGCGGTGCAGCCATACCCTGTATTCGCCACTAGGTAGCAATGCTCCGCTGCCATACGAAAAAGTGAAGTGATCTAGCGGCAATTATAAGACTTTATTTGTTGTTATCAACCCCTGTCACCAACCATCCATGACGCCGACTATTGCACATCAAGCACCAATGAGCCAATGTTTTGCCATTACACGAAGGGCATTACAGACCCCATGATGTTTGCCTCCTATGATCGCTTATAAGCTATTATAGTCCTTGTCACTATACATCCACGATCCCCACATACCTCCACAATGGGTCGTGTTTCCACTATCAACTTCAAAAGGACAACCGGCTTGGTGCCTCTCTCCTTCTATAGCCGGTTATCAGTCCTTACTACTAGTCCTTACTATCAGCCCTGATCAACAACCATCCTACGGTCGCTTTACACCTCCATCACACGTGTCAGCATTTCACTGTCAACTCGGAGAGCATAACAGAGTAACGGATACTGTGGCACGCATCCTCTAAAACTCCTTAACAGTCCCTATCATTTGCAATCACTTAGCATCGGTATTCCCATCCTGCCGACTGCTTGCCTCCTGCTTTGAGTTACTAGGAGGTCTAGGGGCACAAGTCATCCAATTACGATCAAACACTAACGCCACAAACTAAGAGACACACTCCCCAGCATAGTAGTATATTTGGTAGGTTCAAACAAATCTTGGAAAACAGCGATGGTGAATAATAAGAGAAGTACCCGGGTAGGTAAATAGAAGCTCTTCGCAAAACTTCTCAGTTTTGGAATTTTACGAAGTAGATTTTTTTGAAACGTTAAACTTCACTAAGTACAGAGCTCACAATGAAAGTGGCTTGCGAAATAACCCACTAGAATAAATCTGTGGCCCCCTCGTATAGCATATGTAACGCGTCAGGTGGGAAAACGGCCTAGATAGGGTGTTATAAAGGCTCGTAGATCGTTCCGTGTGTATGCGTGAACGAGTTTCAACGGTATTGTACAGGCTGCACCATACAAAAGGGAACCCATGTAGGAATTCAATCAAACTTTCGTGAGCCCTAGCGACAGTAAAAGGCAATTCTGGACAGTTTGGCTTGATTAATCAGCTTATGCGCAATTACAACGACTGAAATCTCATCTAAATACCCCTTCCATCTTATCACCGTCATTGTAATCTCGTGCAACCTCTAGTTTCACTATTATTGAGGATCGTTTTGTACGAAAAAAATAAGGATGGTAGAGATGGCTTAGACGACAGAGTTTCTCAGCAATTCTGCAATTTTTTAACGGCAACCCTAGACAGCATGTGGCCTGGCACTAATTTGACGGAGTGATGTGCTCTCCGTAGTGAACATCGCCGACCCATGTGAACCACCCTTGGATAATATGATGCATCTGTTGAACTGTTAGGTCAGTTTTATACCTAAAAAAAACTATGGAACTGAACAAGCGCAGATCAATGTGGGTTATAGGTGGGAATCTTCTATAGGGAGAAAGGGGAGCGGGGGAGGGGGGAAGAGCAAAAGCTTCCTGATAGCTTAAAATTTATCGATCGATTATTTTTTTAATTATTATATGTTTCACATCCACCACCCAAACTTGCCTCAGGTATAACTCGCGAAATGTCTTTGTACCAAGTCAGAGTTATAATTAAGCGAGAGAGTTTTACCCCTCTCCCATCACTATGGTAGAATAATACTGTAGGATGGGCTGATCTTGTACTCCGTCCTATACCCCATGCTCTCCTCTCATAACTACTACTTTGCTGTCACACAGTTGTATCGACTTGAGAGTCAAGTGCTTTACATTGCAAGAGTGACCAAATTTCAGCCTACAAAGTGAGAAAACTATTTTCCTGACGTCTTCCAGTAATTTCCCAAATCGAATGGATCTCACACAATAAGAAGCAATAATTTATTGTGTATTGCACAATTGGCACATGTCTCCGGCCATCTAGTAACGGCGGTATCCTCCAGCAGTCTGCTCAGCATTCTGTGCAGCGTTGCGCTTGGGGCATGGGCAGTACTCGGCGTCCTTGCCAGGTTCTCCTTCCTCTCCAGGCTCTCCGGGAAGGCCGTTAGCACCATCATCTCCCTTGAAATATAACTCTAATTTTATTTGTACACACGTTTGTGGTTGTCTAGAAGAAGAAAAACAACTAGTATACCAACCTTCTCTCCTTGGGGTCCACGTTCTCCAGGTGGTCCGGCTGGTCCTGGGGCTCCAGTATCTCCTTGAAGTCCCTCATCTCCTTCATCTCCAACTGGTCCAGGCTCTCCTTTGGGACCGGGGAGACCAATTTGGTGCTCAACGTCCTCTCCAGGCTCTCCCTGGGGTCCTTCCTCTCCAGCTGGTCCAGGAGCTCCAACCCCTCCGATGGTTCCAGGGAATCCAGGCTGTCCGTCACGACCAGGCATGGCAGCTTGTCCACGGGCTCCACGCATACCACGTGCTCCGGGCTTTCCAGTTGGTCCTTAATAGAAGATTTAGATTCGCGGACTGTTAAACTCCTGAGGCTCAACTAACCTGGAGGTCCAGGAGGTCCTTGTGGGCAGTGGAAGCATCCGGCATATTGTTGAGTCTGAGCCTTGGCATCTTCAGCGTCTTGTCCATCAATACCAGGTACTCCTGGGAGTCCATCAGGTCCGTCGAATCCAGGAACTCCCTTGGGTCCAGGAGGTCCAGCTGGGCAACTGTTGTCGGCGTTGCAGTTGCAGTTTCCGTTGGGCTGAGCTAAATTTCAAGCGACTTGTAGTTTGTATCCCGATAGAATGTGAAACAGTGGGCAAATATACACAAATGCTAGTTTCGCGTTTACCTGATGGAGCTCCATCGTTTCCTGGGAAGTTGTTGTTATGGTTGAGGCTGGGTGGCACTCCAACCACACCTGGAAGGTGTCCATTGGGCTGTTCGAAGTTGCCTCCAGGGAATCTAGGTCCCTGAAATGTTAAAAATCACCATGACAAGAGATTGCTCCATGGTGGTAGCGGGATTAACATACCTGTGGTCCACCATGTCCTGGGAAACTTCCGCGTGGGGGAGGAGCGGCGTATCCGTAGGCCTGACGACGGACTCTTCCGTACTTGTTCATATCCCTCCAGAGGCTATCGGTTTCGAGCTTCCACGACTCAATTTCAGCATCGAGTTCAGCACGGATGTCGCTGATTTCGCTGAGAATCATGGGGAAGGCAAATAAGCACATTGCGAGGGCGAAGCATCCGAGACCTGTGGCCACCACAGCCACCGAACGTGCCGACATCTGGAAATGGAGGACAATAACTGCTGGGTATCTCATAAGCCAATGAAACAAAAGAGAAGGCCATCGGGAGCTGGCCGATTACGACCACTGAGGTTCTCTTGAGATATGCACCCGTTATATATGGGGGTGCGGCAGAGGTGATCGTGATAAGGCCTAGATCCGCCAACCCGAGAAGGAGGGAACCAGATTCGGGCAGAGATAACCTGAAGAGATATGCAATCGCGCATTCATAGACAATAGATTGGGCCACTGTACGAATGTCATCTAATGGGCCGAATGGACAACCTTGCCGAAGTGAACCTTAGGATGGTACAAACCATCTCTCCAGCAATCCCAATGGTTGCGCTGAGTTTCGGGCACATGATTAATATGGACGCATTTCTTCTGTGGCAAACAATCCTGAGCAAACCAAGCATTGGGCAACTTCCGGAAAATCCTCTAGCAATTGATAAAGAACTCCAACGAACCTCATATTCTCTCAGCAATAACCACGGAAAGAAAATAGAAAGTCCAGAAGATATTCAATGTCACTGTTTCGACCGTCCGAAGAATTCCCTTCTGGTTCCAGTCAACGGATACATAAGCCGTAGCAAATAAAAAAAGGAATAAAACAACGAATGTTGTCTAACCAAGGCTTTCAACCCTCATTGAACATTCCATGGAGTCCCTAAAAAATCTATAGGGGCCGAAGTTTCGGATGTAAGACAAAAATTAGAATTCGATAAATCCAATCATACTTTAGTACGAGTGAGTGGCAAAAACTGGGATGAAAGTTCCTATAGGAGATAAAACACTGCGAGCAGAAACCGTACTTTCTAGCGGCTGAGTCAGGTAAAGAAAAATTGGTCGTAAAGTGTGGTAGCATAGCTGTCACAGATCTCAATAGTCCATCCACTTGTCAAGTTTTCCATTGAAGGTACTATCCTAACATCAAATGTTTCGCTAGTAAGTGGAGCAGTAATAAACTGTCCTACATACTACCGTACCGTTGTACGCAAACAGTAGTGACAGCACGCATCGTCATAAAGGCCAAGGACACATCTTCGGTGATAGTTACAGGCCTGACCTGAAGGCGAACTTATTCGAAAACGTTACAACAACGTACAGATAAATAAAAAATAGGAAAAAGTAATGTTGGTAGGGGCGGAGTTGGTGTAGTAGCAAGTGGCGCACAATAATGCGGCATGATCCTAGGATCGAATCCCAGACCAGTGCTCGTTCAGACCAACCAAGCCTTCCATCACTCTGGGATCGGTCAATTGGTACCAGACTCGCCTGGAGGAGAAAGTACTGACATGTAAAACGTAATTAAGCATCGACTGCTCACCGCGAGTCACTGTATATCCTACCATATGTAACGCCCTAGGTGTTTCTGTTGGTGCGGGTGTGATGTGGGTATGTTCATGTGTATGTGTATATGTGTATGTATATACAAATATGTGTCTGTGTTTCACCAGAAGTTCACACATCCGACCTACGGTACCTCAGCGTCCAAGTTTGGAAAGGAGGTGGGCGATAGGCAAACTTTACATGAAAAGGGGAACTCGGAGAATCCGACTACTGTCACCCTTTCATCCGTTCAAACAGCAGGTACGGTCCCGAATAAAAGTCAGCTGCGGGATTTCTCAAAAACGAATTTCATCAACGTCTAGAAGTTCATCCTTCATTTTTTCAAATTTTATTGAGCAAATCTTTTGTCTCATCCTTTCTTTATCCACCGTCTGTTCGAAAGTGGCTTACTATAATATTCATGAGGTAAGAAAGTCGAGCATATCCTAAGTAAAGTATGATAACTACATATACAGAGACAGTAATGCTCCGTGTTCTCTTCAGCCAGTTACGCGGTATATGCAGTTCACCAAATGGGTGACGAACCAGCAACCGTGTTCTCACTGCAGGCTTCTCACGAAATCCAGTTTTTCAATTGTCTCATCCCAAGAACATGCAAAGTGACTTGGCCGCTTGAATTCAACCAAAAATGATAGAATGATAGAGATAGGAAATGCCTCTACTACTCAGACGTGCGTACCCTTAATGAGCATTACCCTTCCACAAGAACGGAAGCCTTTAATCTCAAGAGAAAAGAGTTTTCTAAGCCAATTACCAGTTTATTAACGGAACATGAGATCCGCTCGAAATTTGACTTTTCGAACACATGCTGTGGACTTCTTCGCAGTCTATTTTTGAAAATCGATCTTTCTAGGATTTGTTTCATAACAAACATCGGGCACTCGGCAGCACACGGCTGGCATGAAGCATGGACGACATAAAGGTTGAAATAGATTTATTCTACAGTATTCATTCGATTCCTTGCAGTGTAAATGAAGAATGCAATCGTATCATTAGCTTGTACAGGAAGTCTTTCGAAGTGATTCTCGACTCCTTCTAACATCTGAAAAGAGATAAACATGGTTAGAAAAGATCGGCAATTCTAAAGAAATGTAATAAAAAATACCGCATGCTTGCTCGCACTGGCTTTTGTGGGAATCATGAAGAACTTTCGATACCTTCGTAAACTGGCAGCTGATAAAGTGGAGAGTCCAGTCTGAAACAAGTTAATCACACCACCAACAAAGACTTTGAGACTGTACGCATTTTGCTGTCAAAGGATTCTACGCAACCGATGGGAACCGTACCTATACAACACCTATTCGGCTACGCATGCCACAGAGTGCATACAACGAAAAGCACTTTGAGCATACTAATGAATGTATGACCCAAACTTCTCTGTACCGCTTGCTGTAGGGGCATTTCACCAATCTCGGGCAAGTCTCTTTCATTTCATTCATCTACCCCGTCCCCACTTTTGCTCATCCTCTCCAGAGCCTGGGCTGCTTGGAAACCGAACTGAGAAGTTTTGCCCTTCACCCCACTGGGTTCGTATTTGTTCGGTTGATTTTTCAATTCGATACGTGACCCAACCTCTCCAGTTCCTTCCTCAGCAAATGTCGATATCCGTGACAAATAAACAGACAGGCAGGCAGACTGAAGCCTTCCTTACTATCTTCCAGTCCTTCCTGTCCCAGGCTATCTTTCCTCACTACATATAAAATGTTCGCATCTGTCAGTCTGTCTATCTATATCGATATCGATATTACACAAACAACCTTAACCCACACCGCTACAACAAGGCGCCTACAAGTTTCGTTGTCGCCCTCTACTAAAGACTACAAAGAACGTTGACTTCTAAATAGGGCTAGCACTCTGTTTACCAGGTAAGCCTTGTCTCGACTGACAGTGGACCTCAAAAGCTCCACTGACCGCTACGAAGACTTGCGAAGAGGGATGAGTAATTTCTCTGACTACCTTCAATTATGCCTTTGACTGCATATAATGTAACATTTTCGTGCAGTAATTGCCGCATTGAATTACAGCGTTAGTCTGTCTGACTGATCGCAAGAAGATTTTACGAAGATTATCCTAGAACTTTTGGGGTACAGCGATAAGAGCTGGGGGAGCGGAGATTGGAGGTGCAAGGGAAAAGAGACTCAAAAGTCCGCAGCTATAGTCTCTCCGTCCCTCGACCACTCTTGCACAGAGTGTCAACGACGGAATTACGACTAGAGTGAAGGAAACCAAAACGAGGTTCATAATTAGGGCAACTGCACTTATTACAAACTCCCGATATTCCAAAAACGCGTCTATGTCTGAATCACAGAGAACCCTTAGTTTCGGAAGCGGATCACTATACTGCTACAAAAGATCTGATTAGTTACATCAACATCGAGCAGAGTAGAAACAGTTCATAGAGTACGAAAAGCAGCAAGGAACATCCAGATGGAAAGCGGTTTCCAACCCATCAGGACCAACAGTGTAGTGGTCTGCGTCGCGTTTGTAAAAAAAAAAGCTTTAGAAAATTGCCTAAAAAAGGATGATGAAACAAAGAACACTAGATGTAAAGTTCTGGACCCGTCACAAAGGTAGAGATTCGAGAAATATGGTATACTGAAACTGCTGGTGATAGCGAGAAGCGGTCGGTCGAAAAATAGCTGGTACTCCTCTCCTTTTGGACATGGTCATTGTTTCGAACAGAAACAGGGCAAGGTCGAGGCAATGGATGAAGAGGAGAGGTATAAGCCGCAGCAAAACATGAATTCGTAGAATAGGCTAGAAATAACTTTTTTAAGGACTCTTGACGTATTCAGAAAATGTTGAAGCCATCCTGTGATTTGGGAAAATAGCAGGGGGTCAAAAAGGTATTAAAGGAGATGGAACTCTTTGGTTATGGAACAAAAGACTTGAACAGTCATGAAACGAGGAAATAAACAAACAATCAGCAAGAGTCTTGAAGGCCTTTGATGGCAGCAAAAGCAGCCGTAGCTAGCGCAAAGAATGAGAGCTACCTAAGTTGAAGTCTCACTTTTTGGCTTACTATTTAATAGCAACTAGCGCTGATCAGGACTACGCAGACCGTGAAGAGCAGCAAGGATATACTGTGATAGAGCCATCCGAACGACAGAGAATTAGAAGAGTACTTTGACAGACTTTTGGAAAAGATTCTCAACAAACAGATGGATGAAAGTGAGAAAAGGGGGAATGTAGAGTAGTTTAGTGACTCAACCTCTTTCTCAACGAGGTAACCTCTAAAAAAACTATGCGGATCCATCATCAAACAAAAAAGCAACACAAAGAATTGGTTCATCACATCGGGTAAAGTTAGCAGTTAACAGTTGGTGTTACTATGCTGTAGAGGGGGTAACTTGGCTTGAACATGGCAACATTCATCCCATTACAAGAATGGAGCTTCTATAAACAGGCAAAATGTGGGAATGCTGTAATGCTTAATCTGAAACATCTGTTTTCATTGGTAAACAGGTAATGGTTAATTATCGAGGAATGCACCTAGGTATAACACATTTTTTAGATTGAGCGAAGCAGTCACCCTTTATTTTCACCGATGTTCAGGAGGTGCTGCGAAATCGACGAGTATAGGTAATACTGAACTCTAAAACCGGTACTGCGAGTTGGGAAGAGAGGTGCAGCTAGGTTGAGGCAACAGTAAGACTCCACACGGTTTTGCGAAGTAGATATCAAGGTAGAGTAGAACAACAATTATTTTGGTAAAGACCTTGAAACGCCCAAATAAACCAGAGCCGAAGTTTTGAGCAAAAACTCGAAGCATTACCCTTTTGAATTTTTTTGATCCATTTCATAACGCTATTACCTAACGTTATGAGCTAAGAAAAATTACACGAAAACATTATAGATGAGTGCATGTTTTTCAAATGCTATATATATTGAACAGAAATTGAATTTGAAAGCAATAACATACGGTGTCATCGTCGTCGCTATCATGTTGTTGCTCCCCTTCTCTATTATGTGAAGACACGGGCTTGCCAGTCTTGGAACAGCAGGGTCTATCTTTTGCGTCTTGACCTGATAACACAAATGTTGTTAAACGCAAAACTATCAAACAGCAACAGACATCTAATATACTCAATAGGAAGCATGAATGGGAAGTGTATGTAGTGTGTGCGTGTATGTGTGTGCGTTGGAGGATGGGTGTATATGGTGTGTGAGGTGTGACGAGATGGAAGACAGTAGGTGCC